GGCCCACTTAGTGGGTGGCTGGCCCATGGTGTGCACTTGGACAGCCCCTGGGCCCTCATGACCCGGAGTACTCTCACCCACTCCCCTTCAGCCAGCCGGGGGTGCCCCCTGGAGCCTGCTTCTCTGTACTGCTCCCAGTTAAATTCCCAGAGGAGGAAAAAAACCTAAGCAAACAGATTCTCTCCAGGTGAGAAACCTTGAGTCTAATTATCCTTTAGGCTGCTCCTTGAGAAATCCTTTACCATATTCTTCCAGGCCAGCGGGGATGGAGGGAGAGAAGGGCCCCAGCGTTTGGGCAGGTGGGATTCAGGAGAGCAGTGACAGGGGAGCAGGGACACTGCACCTTTGCTTGAGGCCCTCCCTGCACAGGTTGTTGGCTTTCTCCCTCAGACCAGCAAGAGGGGGATTTAACCCATCTGGGTCAGACGCCCGGGAGGGGAGACAGATTGTGCTGCTCCTGATGCCCTTCGACCCCTGCCCTGTTGCTGGGTTCTCTGAAGCTGGCACCCTGACTGCTGGTCCGTGTCACCCCCACACCCACCCCAGGCATGCCCTCTTCCGTAAAGAGACCGAGACTGACCAGAGCCTCAGTGCCCTGCATGGCACCCCCAAGAGGCCTGCTGTTGATCCCCTGAGATCGTGCAGGGGAGGCTGCGCATCCTGGCCTGGCTGGTTGACCACTCTGTGCAAGCAGAGTGGCTGAAATGGACTTCTCTGCTGGGCTCTCAGTCCAGCTCAAGGTCATGCCCCAGTCAGCCACCTGTGCTGAGGGGGCTGACTCCTGCCCCAGGTGAGATGTCTGCCCCTGCTGCTGGCCACATCCCCTCCCTTCCCTGACCCCACCCGGCCTCAGTGCCCACCCAGAAGCAGAGTAGAAATGCAGTGTCCACTCCAGACAAACGAGGCACGCTGGCATCCAGGCCCATGGGGCCCAAGAAGCCTTGGTTTACAGTCTAGAGCATGTGACTGCCTTTGGGTAGACACAGGCCACTGTAACTTCTCTTGT